ATATATATATTTCCAGCTTTACTTTGGTCAATATTTTTATATGAATATTTTCTTAACATCTCTTCCTATTCTCTCTTTTTTATAATATTTAACTCTTCATTTTTAAATTTTTGCACACGTTGACTTTGATATCATGTTGGAAATTTGAGTAAGTCTGAGCGATAAGATCAAATAACGTACATGGGATTAGATATCCATTCAACTATCTTTTCAACTGTTCTTAATAGCTAAAACATAATTCCTCGTGTTAACCATTCATCACTTATCAAACAAATGCATCAAGAAATCTGTGGAAAGCCCACGAGAAAAGTGGCTTCTATGAACTATATTTTCTTGTTATGAATTGTAAGCCACAAAGGTTGCAGAAGACGTTGTGGCATCACCATCTTTTTTTTTTGTGTTTTTTGTCTTGGCAGGTGCAAGCTAAGTGGAGGTATGTCAAGTAAAGGGGCAGACGCAGCAGAATTCCTGATCGAGAACAGCAAGTGCCTCTGCGTTGGCGTCCAAAAGAAGGGCCAAAACGCAGGCTATCTCCTCAACACCAAGACTCACAAAAACTTCTGGCTTCTCGCCTAGCCTTAGTGTGCCTCCATCCCTTTCTCTTTTCTTCTGTACTAACTGATCTCTTCCATCAAATGTGTTGCATTTCCCTTTGCCTTTTACCTCAGCTTGCATCTTATGGGCATTCATGAAACCAAAGAAGTCAATGATCAGTTGAAGTATAGGAAATCTAAGTTATAAGATGATGGTTTGTGCCTGACTGCTGGATATGTCCTTTTGTTTCCATCTTTTGAAGCTAAAGATAGATGTGTTGATGCGAGAATACTGCTTTTGGACGTTACAACTTTCTATTTGTGTGGAGTATATGGTGTTTGAGAACAATCAAGTCCATGATTTATTGTTCTTATAACTTGTTTTTTTATGTACTGCAAACGTTTGCAGAAGAATTAAGCCGTTTAGGTTACAATAAAGAGTTACGATTATTTGGTCTTCTATATTTGAGATCACAATTTGCAGCTCTTTTCTCTTTGTAGGCTGCTTTTACTTTTGCAGCTCTTTTACTTCGTAGCTTGGGAAGCGCACCTTGCAGCCTGCACATCCAATAGCAGTAGATGACCTTTGCTTGAATATGACTATATACCCTAAACCTGTATCATCGGAAGTAAACAATCCATCGTAAGGTATAATGAAATCATGCATCCTTTCATGGGGTCCCTACTAATTGTTGGGTACTTTTCAAGAGCCAATAATGGATGATACTATTTTCCTGAATATAGAAAACATATTGGTCTGATGGTTATTATAATGATAATTATTTTTGTTTATTCATAATTATTGAAAGATGTTGGCAATAACTATCCTACTTATCTCTGTTGAGACAATAGTGTATTATTACAAAAAGTAATAGATCTTATATTCGAATTCATATATGAGCGTTGTGTATGTATTTAATACAATAAAAATATATTTTAATTTTTTAATAAAAAATAATGGTCATCCTTAAGATCACCTCCGTGTCTTTCTTACTATGTTGTCCTTCCGATCATGTATCATATTATCAATTTTCAAAGTTATAAATTCTAGATAAAAATAATACATATACTGGTCTGCTGTAATTAGCTCTCTCATTAATATAAATGACTAACTAGATCATATTGATTGATGTGTTTCATTAAAAGAAGTAAAGAAACTGATGGACATACGGATATAGGCAGGAGATGCCTACATTGAGGTACTTCAATTTCCCTAATCAAATTAATCTTGGCCAAAAGAGTGCCTCTTAAGCCGGCTGTTCCTTGTACTCTTTTCTACATAAATATTCTATCTTTGGAGAAGAAATAAATCTATGGATGTTGAAGTTAAAGTTGAAGAAGCACTTGGCTGATCTATTATACAAAACTAATCATCCTCCACCAAAGACTGGTTTATGCCACTAATCATGGATATTAATTTTCATATTTATTTCAAGAGAAAAGTAACACGATTTGAAAGATCTCAAAGATATCATCATAACCAAGAAACATGATACATGTTATATAGTCCAGTAATGGTTTTCTTGTCGCCTACTCAAAAGAACGAGGTACACAATTGAGCACATAATGAGCCTACACACCACTATTTTGCCAGTGAACCTGATCTGACAATCCAACGCAATCTATGGAGTGTGGATTCTCTTGTCCACAGGTTGAATCTAAGTCAATAAATCTTGACTTTTTGGGGAGTTCTCAAGTTCTGGCAAACAATATTTTCCTATTGTTGCATGTATCAGATTTAGATTGGAAGGTTGGATCTTCCAAAGGTGCAGATTCTCATGATACATAAGCGATTCCTTTGACTGGAGCATGATTTGAGCTGGGTTAGGCCAAACTTGCGATTGGATCAAATAATTTGGGTTCGACATGATAGATTTGGTTGGTTTGATGTCGGATGGCCCTCCATATCTGTTCAGGAACACGGGCGACATGGATGTGAACGACTCTCGTTGTTACACACCAGCACTCAAGCCGCTCTCTTTCCTATTTCACGAGGCTTTTCTGTGTCTCTCCTCTGCTTGCCTTCTCTCTCGTTGTTTGACTCCCCTCTCCGCCGTCGTCGACTCCTGAGGATGTCTGCGGTTCACTTTGTTGCTGTTTCTTCTTCGGCCATCTCCAAATGCCCCAAGAACCATCACTGCCTCCCAGGTTTCTCTCTCTCTCTCTCTCTCTCTGTGAAATATCAGCATTCGTTTTCTGGGCAATTGGTTCCTTTTTGAGCGTCGACAAAGTAGAAAGAAATTTGTTTTCCTTGTTCTTCCTGAATCTGTTCTGTTAGTTCTATGAATGTGTGCTTTAGGATAAATGCTCAGGGAGTGGTGGGTTGTGGTAAATTTTGATGCTACAGAGGGAGGTAAGAGAACGATGTGTGTGTACAAACTTTTTTCTTTCATTGTGATTCGATAATGCTACAGTGGGAGTAGGAAAGGAGAAATTTTATGTTGCTTATAAGCTAAATAAACAATTTAGTGGGTGCAGTTTATAGATTTAACAATTTACAGGCTGCAGAAATCATACCAAAGATGTTGTTCCACCCTCCCACTCTTCCTTTTCAATTAGTTCCTTCTACATTTCCTTCATCTGAACTTGTGATGCTCTGAAAGAGAGCTTTTCGAGTTATTATACCAAAAGTTATGAAGCAATTGTTTTTCATACAAGGTGTCAGGAATTTTCAAGTAATTATAACAATAAATATAATGAGATGCCTTGTTTTACAGGTTCTTTTTTTCTTCTAGTTTGTAGGGATAAAAGAAAGAATGATTGCCAAAGTGATATCCTCAAATACCCAGCCCTTCCTCTTGTATTAACTTCAGTATATCAAAGTGTTTGAATGAAAACACAAGCACCTGCAGTTCGATGATTTACACTCGAATGTCAAACTTTCAAGGGCTTCTGAAGAGTACCATGATCTGCACATACATTCATTAGTATAAATGTAACTGAAGTTGCATAGCTATGCATAGTTTTGACTAAGAAATGGATAAATTTAATTTTTTTGCAGTTTTTAAGTTGATAAATCTTAATCTTCATCTGGTGGCACAGGATTTTCAGATGTCTTTCCTTTTCCCACTTCCCTTATATGATAGCATCATTGCTTTAACCTAAGCATCATCGCCTATACCTTAGATGAATATGAAATACCCTTCCTACTATACTAAAATCTGGTAGACTTAAATCAAAATTCTTATGTCCTGTTATTACCAGTAGTCGCACCAGAAAATATTGGTCCATAAATTCCAATTTTTGTTGATCAGATTAAAATTGTACAGAATCTCTATAAGTTTTAATCCTTTTCTTGGTATACATTACTAGGAACAAACTTTCTTGGTTAGAAGAAAAATGGCCTTTCTATTTCTTTATTTGGTTACCAGTCTTCAAATCCCCAGCTTGTTAAATGTCTTTCTGAGCATGGCTTTGGAGTACCAAGAAATTTTGGAAGAATCTTCTCAATAACTCTGGAAAGTAGCCATGGAGGTTCATGTATAGGAGGTCTTTATAATGGAAGCAGGTTGACAGTTACACCTGTATGTTAACCGGCTTTTCTGTACTTGTGATGGTTGTTTATTATTCTATTAGTTGTACTGTTTAGTTGATTTTTGAATATAGATAGAATTCTTGGATAGCTTGGATGGATAGTGTGAAATATCTTATTCAAGTTTGCATTTAATCCTCTTTAGTTAATGAACTTTGTGATGTTTTACAGGCATAGCACCTCTCTCTACTGTTGCTCGTCCAATTTCTCATTCTGCTTTCTGTGGCATATCTTTAAGGATTCCTCCTCCAAAGGTGATTCCAAGAGGAGGGAATTCTTATAATTCAAGGGTGACTATGATGATGGTCAAGCCAGCGATTCAGTTCATCCAAGGAACTGATGAGCAGACTGTACCAGATGTGAGACTAACAAAATCGAGAGATGGTACAAACGGTGTCGCAATATTTAGTTTTGACCAACCTTCTGTTTTTGACTCATCAAGTGAACTCGGAGACATCACTGGATTCTTCATGATCGACGAGGAAGGTGTGCTCCAGTCAGTTGATGTGAGTGCCAAGTTTGTGAATGGAAAGCCTTCAAGAATCGAAGCCAAATATGTGATGCGGAGTCCCCAAGAATGGGATAGATTTATGAGGTTCATGGAGAGGTACTCTCAGGCCAATGGCTTACAATTTGTCAAAAAGTGAGGCTGCATACATCCTCCATTTTTCATAAATCTGACAAGCAGCTATATTTGAATTATACTATCTAAAATTTCAAAGTTTTGTTCAATGTTTTTTTTTATGTTTTCTCCTCAAAATTAATGTTACTAACATCAATTGCAAGATGTTGCTCAACATATCAGAGTGATTCCATCTCAATTTGAGTTTGTCTAAGAAAGCTAAGTTCTATTGTAGAATAATATAAACAGGTACATAAAATATGGTATGGTCTTTTTGTTGGTCAGAAACTTAATCTTTTCATGTATTGTCTCTCCATCAAAGGTGATCTGTAAATGATAATTGTGGGTACTCTTACTGCTATGCTCTCTCATCAGTCGATAAAAGACTCCTCTATCATCATAATGTTGGGCTACTTATGGACATGAAGCAAAATTGAGTCTACACCTGAGATAAAACATTCAATTTTGTCAAAGGCCATCTGGTCTTTAGGTCTTTTAGAAACCTAATGTTACTTTTCATTGTATCAGAATCACAGTATGTATGGCAATCAACAATCCTACTCTGTAGATTACTACAGATGAAGTGTGAATGTTCATCAGAAGATTACTACATCAAATGAATTCAGAGAACCAAATGTGCTGGAGTAGGATCTGGAATTCCTCATATTACGTGTTAAGTCTTAGAATCGATGTCAGAGATTTTGTACAGAGGAAAAGACCCTCATCAGCTTCAAAAGAAGAAAGAAAAAACAAACATGAACACAAGCCCTCATATTCCTTCATCTCCTATCTGCAAAATCCAGAGATAAGCCTTCAAACTTTCAACTAGTTTCTCAATTTGAACTTGATGAAATACAATTAAAGAATTGTTATACTTTTTGCATTCATGTTACATCTATGTACTTACCATCTCTATCCCAAATTGAAGTTAAGCGCTGTTCCTGTTGGAATTGTTCTACAGAATTGTTATACGCTTATCAGTTTTGTTTTTTCAAAAGAGAAATATATTAATTAATTTGTAGAAACACAAAAGGAGCTCTGTAGATTAGAATGCAAAAAATGATACGGCCACTCCCCAATCCAAAAAAAATACCGATATAGTTATAGCTTAGTATATCTAGCTAACTAATTAACAGTCTTATTCTTCAATTACATTTTTGTTCAACTTAAGAGGAGGAGAGATTGTCTTATCTAACATCTTAATCAGTACCTTCGAATCAGATTTCACATGGATCATGTTGAACCTATCTTGTGCAGTCACCTGAAGATCATCTCTCATGACAGCAGTCTCACAAAACAATATATTCCAACTTTCGACCCACCCACATCCAGAAAAAAAAAAAAAAAAAAACCAGCATTGTTTCTTCAAAAAATCCAACACCATCAGACTTATTTGTCACGGTAAAACTATGACAGTTCAACTTTATACATCCAGTTTGAGGTATATACCACAGAACAAGTCGTTGGACTAAACCTTGCCTACAACTATCAAACCTTACCTACAGCTATCAAATTGACTTGTCAGTCAAGATAAGATAAGAATGGCAGATGGCAACTGTAGTCAGTTCATGATGCAAAAGACACTCAAATTTTAGGTTTTAGATATCTCGATCAGCATGCAGCCCTCACTTCACACATTCGCCTAACTTGAATTCTAAATGAATAAAGACAAATTGGTTTGTAGATGGAAAGCATTAATGTCTATCTTTGTATCCCAACGAGGACACTTTTAGGTAAGCCTGATGATGATGATTCTAAAATCGATGTTCATCAACAAATCTGACAATTTTTTTTTTTTTCCGGAGTTGCCTTTCTATTAGTCTCCACATCAGGCAAGCAAGTTTCCGTCCTGAAGAACTGTACAATAGGTGATGACTGTGGATCAGAGACTCTAAAATTAAAGCATGAGAATTATAAGAAATCAGTCACAAATAATAAATAATTAATTATGTAAAACATTTTCAACTTTTAGCAGGAATTTTTTATAGCGGGAATTGCTCAAAGGTTTCCCAACCAAATTAACAGAAAAAAGAATAACGGATACCAACAATTAATTTACACAATGAAAAAAGAGGAGGATTTGAAAATAAATCTGTTGGATACTATGCTCCATATTATAAGCAATTGGCACGCTTAATGACAACCCCAAGGGTAAAGATTATACATCTCTTAAAAAAATACATGGAAAGGGAAGAAAAGTACCTCTCATTTCTCTTCCTCGGAATCTGACTTTGCAAAAACAGGCTCTGGTTGAGTTTCTGCATATGCAGGGGCAATGAATTTAGGATCCTTTGCAGCAGCATCAGCATATTTAAGTATTGCCTCCCTTGGATCTTCATCCATCCAGGTTTCTTTGATTAAACCACCTTGCTGCAATGATAATTATAAAAACTTGATACATGCAACAAGAACAAGGATAACAAGTAAAAGAAATAAAATAACAGAAATGGTGTTTAACCAAATAACACATACCTTCAAAAGGTACTGAGTCAACAAACTGCCTTTGGTCACTCCAACTCTTCCACCAAATCCTGGACCAGTGACAGGAAGTTCAGGCTTGTGTGACTTCATGGGATCTTTTAATGCTTTTTCTCTTAGACGTTTGCGGCTGGGAGCATCTCTAAATAATGGTAACGCATGTGGGTTGTGAATAACTGGCTGCACCTCGAAATCATCAACAGACTTTTTCCTTGGAGCTCGTCCAACACATACAAGTGCTCCTCTCTGACTTACAGATGAATCATACAGTATATGTGTTCCACCCTCTTTCTTGTCCCCCACTGTTGCAAAAACCTTCAGAAACCACAGCCAACAGCATCATACAATAGTATATTCACAAAACCCTCCCTAAAACAATTAATTTAAGAAATATACAGTCAGATATAGATAATTGCATTTGACAACCACAAAGATTAGAACCAAAAACAAACCTGGTTGATCTTCGGATGCCAAGTACAACGTATAACACTGTATGTTGGAGATATCCCCACCTGTGATACAAGCTCTAGTTTCCTTCGGTCAAAAAAGAACAGTAAACCGCCAGATGTGCCTTCTTTTTCAACAGATGTTCCAGTGAAAATTAATTGCTCATCAGGACTAAATGCAGCATTTGTCTGAGCATAATGGTTTGGAAGATCTGCAAATACTTTAATAGGTGTTCGCATTTGGCGCAGATCCCATATCTATTCAAACATCCAATTATTTAGCTAAACTTTTGCAAAATATAAATGAAAAGTAAAAAAAAATCGTCAACTATAGATTGATCTGAATAATAATGTAACATCACCTTCAGTGTACTATCCATGCTTCTCGACAGAAGTACCAGCCCATCCGTGGAAAACTTAAGCCCAGTAATATCATCACTATGCGCATCGCCAACATGAATATCTGGTCTGCTTCCCCATCCTGGCTTTATGCTCCATAGCTGCAAGAGAAAGCAACTCCATTAGAAACACTAACAGTTTAAAAGAGATGCAATTGAAGGCCCACAAAGTTCGAAGGATAAAAAGATGAAGTTCTATAAAAAATGTTGGCTGACCCCAATTGAACTGCCTTTCTACCTGTATTGATCCATCGCCAATGCCACCAACAATACGTTTACCATCATGATCCCAAGCACATGCAGTAACTGGAATTCTTAATGGTCTGGCAAGTTTGGGTTTTATCACCTGCAAATAAAAGAGCTTCTTAGATTGGTCATAAAACATCTTACAAACCAAACTATACTGTCATGATCAAGCACATGCTCAAGATATACTTATAATATTCCAAACTTCTAAGAATTGATAACAACGATAAAGACAATTCCTGAATTTGAAACTATGACTTGTTTACAAAAAAGCGTTTCATCAAAGTATGAGGTACTAATCGTGGAAATTGTTCCATATTACAGTTGTAGCAAACTCTTTGGATGTCTGAGAAAAACACACTGAATATTGTTCTTTGAGATCACAAGGCAAGAACAAAGATCAATTGAATTCTTGTTTTTTGCCTGCTACAAATGTAAATGTAAAAAGTGGAACATAGACCTGCTTTTGACTTTTGAAGTCGGCAACATCCCAAATACGCAAGGATCCATCTTCTGAAGAAGTCAAAATAGTCTCCTTTGATTTTGGGTTCCATTCTCCACCAGTCAATCCTGATATATGCCCCTTGGTGTTCTTCAAGTCACGTATATACATGTCTCCCTTTATAAACTCACCCAAGGTAAGCCCATCTCGGTCATAGATCTGACATACAGGTTATATTTCTTGTCAAAGAAGGGCTATATATTTTAAATATCCCCAAAAGTGGTCTGATTGCTTTGTAGATTAAGGACAGAATCTACCTTAGCCTGTGCAGAACCTGTTACACACAAAAAACGATCTGAGGTTGGACTCCAACTTAAACTTCGGACTTGATGTCCCTCAAATGGCTCCAGTTGTCTGAAAGATTGCAACTTGGAATTCATTCCTTGGAAGTCATACATGCGGACGGTATAATCATAGCTACCAGTGAGGACTCTTGATCCTGAATGATCAACAGCAAGAGCTGAGACAACCTACAGAAAAAAGAAATAATTAGTCAGGCACTAAAACATGTATGGATTGAAGCCATAACAAAAGCTTAGCTTCACAGGAATAATCTTGCAATTTATTTTGAAATCTAATTGCTAAAAAAGCTCTAGCATACAGACACTAACGAAGCCGTCATTTAGAAAATTCATATTCTACTAGCACAATATTCTTATTCTTTTAAAAAAGCTTGACTAAGAAAACATGATATATGACTCATTGACTAATCAGTGTTGAACTTATGAAAGGTTTAAATGAGAATAACATGGGAACTAATTTAGCAATAAAAAAACTTGTAAAAAAATGAAAAAAATCTACATAAAAAAGTTGGGACAAAACCAGTTCAACATGATATTTAAACAGAGCGGATGATTTGAATGTGTTCTTTAATGAATATTGTCAAACAATGACTTTATTTGACCTTTCTACTCGACGGTAGGCATAAACAAAAGATAACGGGGAAAATTATAACCCTGAAATGTACAGATTTTTTTTGAATAAGCAACAGATAGCACAGGAAAAGCCAAACAAAGCATATTATATCACAAACACAAGGAGTTGTTTCTTATAAGGACTGCATATTGGTACTCCAAGTGATGCTATTAAAAATCCTTTAAAGTGTGTGTACCGCTTTCTCGTTATTGCAATTTTCTTCCCAGAAGCTGAGAAAATATGTGCATAATGTTCTATTAATTTACGATTATAACCCAATTCTCTGGTTAAGCTAAAAAACAGTGTATAATTTGCTGTCAATAGGCAGGCAAAGATGTTGAGACTCTTGGCACAGCCAGAAAATATTATTTGATTTATAGCTAAGACTTTCTTTTGGTTTATGCTTTAGGATTTCTTGCAAGATATTTCTCAAAAGAAGAAATGCGAACGAAGAAGAAGCTACAAAGAGTAAAACCATACCTTAGTATGCCCTTTGAGGACGATCTCGTTACTGAGGGGAATCCGAGGCAAATCCTCCATATCGCCATCCAATTCTGATGACTCCGACTCATCATCCGAATCATTTTGCTCCGAGGACGACGGTGGGGGCCGCGGTGGTCCGATTATCAACCCCTCATCCCCCTCCTCCGACCCCGCTGCCATCGGCGGCGGAGGCGGCGGAGGCCCGATCATGGTGCCGTCATCCTCGTCCTCCGCCGAAACCCTGGACTCATCCGCGGCGCGGCTTGAACCAGCCCTTCCAGGCTCGAAAACCTCTCTGCGGGGGCCGTGGTCGGGCCGAGAGTCAGGGTTAGGGTTCGGGAAGGAGGCCGCGGGGTTAGCGGAAGAGGTGTTCCGGCGCGTGGCGGAGTGGGCGCCAGAGGTATGGGGTTGGGGCTTGGAGGGCTTCCCGAAGGAGAGCGGGAACTGAGCACGCATCGCCTCGTCCATGTCCTCCATTTCCTGCTTCTCCCTCGTGTCGCACTCTTTCTGGGGGAGTCGGGGGAACGATGGTCCAATTTAGTTGCCCAGTTAGGATCCGGATCCGATAGCTTATTGCTTTGACGGTATCAATTTTGATTTAATCATTATTTGAGAGTAATTGGCCACACAGTAGTTAAAAATACAAAAAAAAAGAAAAAATAAATGTTTTATCGATCACATCTTACTTCCCTCTCTTTTAATGCCTCGAACGAACAAATGTGGTCTGGACTTTGTCTGTATTATAATCATACCTACCATATTCAGATTGCGCAGAATACATACATTTGATATTTTGTTTTTGATGAAACAAACAGCCTCTCAAAATAATCATACAAGTGGAGAACTCAAAGCTCAATCGTGTCTTCCGTCTCCATGACTCCGGCGGCAGGCATGGGTTCTTCTCTACTCGCCGGAGGTTACGGAACACAAAGATAATCATACAAGTGGAGAACTCAAAGCTCAAACGTGTCTTCCGTCTCCATGACTCCGGCAGCAGGCAGGGGTTCCTCTCTACTCGCCGGAGGTTACGGAACACAAAAATAATCATACAAGTGGAGAACTCAAAGCTCAAACGTGTCTTCCGTCTCCATGACTCCGGCGGCAGGCAGGGGTTCTTCTCTACTCGCCGGAGGTCACGGAACACAAAGATGTGGAAGGCCATGCTTGCGCCCGTCATCGCACCACCGACGTCTGCAATCGAGGAGCTTCTCAAATGCAGGAGTACGCTAAGTTTTAGAACACATTTGAAATATAAAAATTAATATTTATGAAATTATTTTAAAATCATATTTGATCGGAATGTTATATTAAAAACATTTAAATACCAATGATATCTTAGAATAACATTACTATTTTAATATTTACGGGATATTAATATTATTTTTTAATTTTTAATGTACCCTATAATTTTATCTAAAATTATAAGATTATCAATATATAATAGAATTTCTAATTCTCATCTCCTAATCCTCTCTCTCTCTCTCTATTTTCAGTGTCGTACGTTTTCTCGTAAATTTAAAATTTTATTTATTTATTTTTAAGATTATTTTACATTCATTTATATGATTAATTTTCAATTTATTCTATATCTAGGCCATATATTTTTTAAAATATTACATATATTCATGTCTTTTATTTTGTTTATTTATATATTAATTTAAATAAAAATATATTTACTTTTAAAGAAATGTTAAAAAAATATTATTAGAATAAAAAATTTAATAGACTTTTGAAATATAATTTTATCAAACAACACTTATAGCGCATTTAAAACACAGTTTTACACTCGATACTCAAAATATTTCATAACAATATATTTACTAAACTCTTTTTTGAAATACATATTAAAAATACGTTGCCAAACACAACTTATAATCCTTATGCAATATAGTTAAGTTAGTTCATGACCATGAGACAATTATAACAAATTAAACTTTGACAAATTCTTTCCTGCGTTCTTGATCTTTGAACCATGTTAAGAGCTGCCACTGAACCACACGATGGAAAAGAAGACGACGGAGTAGTAAATGATGTAACGAGTATAAGTTTGACGAGTCAACTAACTAATAACACTCATCAGGTGCAAGACAATCATACTCATTGTCCACTTTCGACGTGGGACTAATAGATCGGGATCATCCTTTTCTACTCGAGCCCTCTCATCCTGCCCAAATACTAGGTCGGTTCTGATACCAAATGTCAGGACCCGAGTCTGATGAGCCAACTGGCCAATAACTCAATTTTGGTCCTTCAACCACGAACCAAAATGTTTAAGTAAGAGTTAACATAATGAGACTAATATAAGTCAGTCAATCATACTCATTGCCCACTTCTGTGGGACTAACGGGATGTTAAGTTAAGTAGCAATATGAAATTATATTATTAATCATCTTTCAATTACTTATTTATAATAGTAATCTATTTTTCTTTTTCACTCCGATGCAATAAAAAACTAGCTTAAACCAATCGATAAAACATAAGCTACTAATTTAATATGGAGATAATTATTTATAAATCTTTTTCGGTTATTTATAACCCCAAGTTAAGAAGTAGAGGAGAGAATTATCGCATAAAAACTAAGTGTAAAATTGAAAGAAAATAACCTCTTTTACTTATTAAGGTAAAGCCATAACAATGAGATTTGAAATAATGAAAATAGAAACATAAAAGAAAGCTTATGTGTATGTAAAAACATAAGTTATTTTTGGACAGTATATCGATGCTCTTGATAGGCTGCGATCACTGTCGGTCTTCAGTCTTCTCCTTCTCTCTTTGTTGCTAGAACATCTTCCTAAGACTTCTCACAATAGCTATACAAAACCTTCGGCTAGAGCTTTGGGCCGCTGGAAGGTGAAAATAAAGGTTGCTGGTGCATTGTAAAGGCATCACCAACCACTTATTCATGGGTCACATGAAGGTTGCTGTTGCATTGTAAAGGCATCACCAACCACTTAAATAATTCTTGCCTTGTCTTGAACACTATTTCTTTAGGTATATTCTTCTCATATTCGAATATCCTAATTTAAGATCTTGCTTTAAGAAGACCATGATAAGTAGTAGTTGGTCTAGCAAGTCATCAATCTATAATAGCGAGTATCGGTTCTTTACCATGATCTTGTTTAAGGCATGATAGTCGATACACAAGCGCTAACCTTCATTTTACCATTGGTGAGTCATAAGAGGAACTACTCGGCTAAATAATGTCACTCTCGATAAGCTTAGCAACTTATCTCTAGATTTCTTTACTTTCATCATCGAACTCCTGTACATGCTAAGATTCAACAAAGGGGCATTGGAGATAAGTTAGATTTCATACTTCATTACACGTCATGGGGGAAGTTCATTGTGTTCTTCAAAGAGCTTTAAGTACTTATTGATAAGCTATTGTAGGCCTTCATCTTCTATGATTTCATGGGCTGATGCTAAGGCTAATGTTTGTGTTGTTGCGGTAATCAGTTGGATGATCAAGAGCTCAATCTTTCTGGCATGCATTCACCATCCTCTTTACTTGGGCAATCATCACTTGGTCAATTAGCTGTCCTTCAAGAACATATATTATTGGGGGCAACAATGGTAGATGACTTCTGAGTCCCACAAATATAGACTCCCGAAAAAAACTTAACATATATTGAGGGGCATTACCTCACATGTTACTTCATCGATGTACTTATTAGTGATCATAAATTTGAATATGCACTAATGATCTATCCTCATCTTGATATCTTTGTGGATCCACCCAACGAATATGGCTTTAGATGAGAAGTGGTCTCTGGTCCAAGTCTTTGTAGTAAGCTTATCGAGATGAAATTCTTTTAGCTTTTGGTGTCGACGATTGTATTGATGGCCTCTTATTTCACTTGGATCTTGAGAGTAAATAATTTTTCTCAAACTTTTGGAATAGGGGTTGGATTTGAGTCTGTAGCTTTTAGTCTAGCCTTCAACGATAGATTCAGATTTAAGTATAAAACTGATGCTAGTTTGATTTGATCATCTCCTATAGTAGCGATTGCCATACATCGATTTTGATTATTTTTCTTCCACTTCTTCGAAACGAGTTCAGGGTGAACCTTCCAACACTTCTTCAATGTATGATCTACAATTTTATAGTAATTGCATAACAAATCTTTTTTTTTTTGGAAGAAGATGTAGTTTTACTACTCTTGGTCTTATATTTTAAGTGCTTCCCTTTTGCCTTCTTTATATTCTTCTCGATGTGGGTTCGATTCTTTTTCTCAATCATCACTATCATCATGCTTACTATTACGATGTTGTGAGTTTTGAAGAGGCCCAATTCTATGTTTATCTAGGCATGGAGGCTAGTGATATATTTCATCATTGTCGAGTGATTGTCGAGGAAAATATGGAGTGTTATAGCTTTTTGTTGAAACTCGATGGTGTATTCTTACACGGATTGATCCCTTCCTTAGCATATGTAGTGTCACTTCCTCCATCTTCCTTCAATGTACTCCATAGGATAGAATTCATCTCGTATGAGCTTTTTGAATTATGTCTATGACATATCTTCATCATTGTTGGTTCAAAGATAAACTTTTTATCAGATAAGAGTATGTCTGATAAACTTAAGTTGCAAGCATCACCCTATCCTCGATGTTATAGTCATATAGATCGAAATAAGTATTAAGTTGATCTATCCATTAGTCTAATACCTCAATATTAATCTAGCCGTCATAGGATAGTATGTCAATGCGAGCCTCGATGCGAAAGAGTCGAGTTCTTGCAGTGATGTTATATTCAACGTCTTTTTCATAGTTGTGCATCTCGGATGGAGGTGACTCTCTCCTTTATCACGACATTCTTTACTCGGTTATTCTTTATTATAAGATTGTTTTAGGCTTGCATCTAACAAATGACGATCTCCATCTGTTGGGCTAGTACTATCATCTAGACAGTAAAGTTAGCCATGACTGTTGGGTTATCAATCGTCATCCCATTAGTGTTTCTTCTTTTGGGTGATCATGGCATGAACTCCAACTCTTGTAGCTCTTCACTTGACTTTTTGTATCCATGTCTCATGATCATCATTCATAAGAACGTTGCTATGATATTATCTGATCTGTATAAGGTTCGAGTTTGATAATCCGTTGACTCGTTACTATCTTTCAAATAAAAGTTTTGATGAATGAGACTTGAAAAACCAAGCATAAAATCGAAAGAAAATAACATCTATTGTTTGTTAAGTTAAAATCATAACTATGAGACTTGAAATAATGAAGATAGAAGCGTGAAACAAAGCTTATAGGTGCATGAAAACATAGGTTGTTTTTAGACAATATGTTAGTGCTCTCGGCATGATGCGATCACTACTAGTCTTTAGTCTCCTCCTATCTGTGCTATTAGAACCCCCTCCTAAGGTTTGGATAGATAATAGACGTTGAGGACTTTTTACAATAGTTAGACGAAGCTTTGGGGTAGAGCTTTCAGATATTAGAATGCGAGGAATAAGGTTATAGTTAGAATAAGTTAGCTGCAGTAGTGCAGAATTCTTCCCTCTTCTCTTTGCTGCTCTAAGGCTATAAAACTAGGGCCAATTACTAAAGGCTTTCATAATTTCTTTTAAATGTGGGCACACCCCTTGTTTTATAAGGAGAGGGGTATCCTAAATTCTTATGATTTAAGAAATTTCCTTATAAGGCACGTCAATTAGGGGTTTCCTTTTATGACTTTTTCTTGTGGGGCATGCACCCCCCTTGCTTAGTAGCTACCCCTATTTGGATGATGAATAGGGTTATTATTTCTTGGTTTTGTTTGATTAAACAGGGTTGAATAGTATTGAGATCATTCCTGATGCATAAAATAATAATAAAAAAAAGATAGAATGAGATGACTTAAAGATCAAATAGTAGGAGGTTAGAAATAGTTTTTGATATTTGTTATAATGATTTAATATTTTTAGAATTATATACATATTGTAATAATACAATTGATGTAGAAGACACTATCTTCTACATCAATTGTATTAACCCAAGAGAGCTGATGGTAGGAGTGTACAAGCAAGGGTTGTGGGGAAGGAAAAAAATAAAAATAAAAATATAAGGATTATGAATAGTAAATATTATATTATTTTTATTTTTTAAAAAAATATTAATAATAAATAAATTATGAATAGTAAACTTCATTTAAGATTTTTTATAGGTAGTAGGTAGTTCAACCTAACATATAGAATATTATAGGACCCTTTGTCGTACATTTGTTCCGAGTAAGTAAATTATATCAGTTTACTATTATTAATTATTAACGAAGGATTTTATCTAGTAACGCTTGCCGATCTCCAATTAAGTTCGTCAAACAACGAATTTGTTTACACATTTTGTTCGTTACTAATTTGTTTTCTTTCTGTGCAGATCGTTCATGTTATGAACATGAGAAGACTGATCTTTGTAAGTAGGGAATATCATGCGACTTTAGTCACTAAAATCAGCTAAGTCTATGATATTAAAGTCATTAAAATCAGTTAAGTCTATGATATTACCATAGATGTTGTAGTCCTTCAGAGATGTTCCTGATCAATAGTCGACGAGGTACTATCGATGGAGACGCCCATGTAGCACTGCACAGATGTTCCTGATCTCGGAGAAAGGCCAGAGAGGAAGGAGAGAAAAGAGGAGGAGAATGGCCAATAAAGAGCAATTAGAAAGAGTGACGTGAGATATACGAAACGGAAAAAGTAATATAGAGAAACATTGAGGTTTGTTTGCAAGGAACCTGGAAATGGAATTCACTGGTTCGAGGGAGGATGGCGAAGTGAAACAAACGGGCTACAAGCCATGGAACTTCCAAGTTAGTATGTATTGCAACAACTCTTTGGAAACTCTTATGTAACGAATTCTTTGAAGACTGAAGAAAGAATGAACTAACACAGGAATACCAGAAAGAACATAGATGATGTGCGCAATGTGCTTCCTGCTTATAGCATTTAGAGCAGAAGAGAAAATGTTTGGCAAAGTTCACAAGCTTTAAGGTAACATTAGAAAAACATTCACCTCTTTTTGCTCGTTTGATCAAGAGATTTATGTTTTAGAAAAGAATATAGGTTAACACAATCATGTTTGCATTTGGCATCTTCTTCTGTTTGATGAATGTGGCGGTGAACAAGGCCATACTTTGGTTCTTGTTCTGACCGTTGACCAATCTGAAAGATTTATCTCTTCTACACATCTAAAACTCATGCAATTCAAGAATGACAATTACTCCGCAGCATGGAGTTCTTCAAATATGGTGAATCTTTCGAGCCTGCATATATAGGAAGGTCAAGGGCTTTCTTGGCTATCCTACCATCCTCATGAATCCTTGCTATCAGACTCTCGAGCGACGGAAAATTCGCCTGTGAGTTCAAACAGAATACTGTCAAACAAGCAGTTGATGTAAATTCCTCTATTTTTCTTTGTTCTTTCTTTACTTTCCAATACCTCTGGTCTTATGTAGCCTACAATAGCGAGGCGCAACTCCTCCCCGTAAAAGTCCTCACCAAAGTCATGGAGTAGCCATGGCTCCTGGAACCGATAACACTCTGTTAGAAAGAACAAACTCCAGACAACTATAGACAAGAGCACACTTACAATAGTCTTCTCGGTGTTGTCAAAGTATGGGTTCCAACCAATGCTCATGACCATCTTGTAGATGCCCCTTGTTGAGAGTCCTGCCCAGCCAAAGTAGACTCCTGATGTGTGCTCAGAGAGTATTGTAGAAAAATTTTCTGCAGGTAAATTAGCTGCACATATTGCAACATGGATGATCAGTGTTGACAACCAACTAAACAAAGTGAAAAATAACTGTATGAGCAGTAAATATTACTAATATTGATTCATTACACTGTTTTGGAAATTTAAAGAGAATGATGTAGTGCATCTCTCTCTAGAACAAAAAAGTATCAATAATAAATTGAGTCATTAAGTTATTTATAGAAAGGGAAAGGAATGTAGCATGACAAATGTTAAGTGGTACAAATCAGGATGGAAAAATATTTTAGTTCATAGTATGAGTAAATGTTTCTTTCAAATAAAGAGATTGTAACAATGGAGGATAGACTAATACAAGCAATGAGGGCTACCAAAATAATATTCATATTTCATAGTATGTCTTCTTTGCAACAGAACCCAAAATGACCTTAGTTATTAACACAATCCATTGGTCTCCCAACAACACCTCTCTATCAACCTCAAGCAACAAACACTGCAAATAAAAGCGGTGCTGCAAATTAAGTACACATCATTTTCATCTCGCTCCAACAGAAGAAAAACTTTGGACCATACCTTTGACGTGGTTAGCGTTCTAACCACTTGATGTTTCTCCACGTATAACTTACAGTTGCACCTTAACCTTTATATACAGTTGCTAAACTAAAGTATTATCACTGTTCACTCGTTAACTTGTGACTTCAGGCAGCCAAGCGCAAGAGGCAAACAGTCAGAACTGGGTCCAACAAAGGTCAGATATAGAAAGTTGTAAATCCTCATCCAGAGTTTATTTTCACAGTTTCAAACCTCAAATTACAAGGGAGCAATTCTACCATTGTACCAAGGCGGCAGGGCCCACCATCGAAGGAGTCAAAATATTATAATGTAAATTTTGCAGAACATTTTATGAATGTTCACTGTTTCTACCGGACCGGTACGGGAAAACCTAGTTTTCCACTTCTCATGCAAGCGCTGCCTCCGTAGCGCTCACAAGCATCGCCTCCACCTAAGCAACGCTCGCGAGCATTGCCTCTGCTTCCGCCTCTCCAGGGCTCATGAACATCGCCTCCAAAGCAGCAATCGATGGCGACCTCCGGTTGCCACGACCTCACTGCACTGCCATGTCTTAGGTAAGGTCTCTTCTTCTCTTCCTCCTCCATCACTTCCTCTTCTTCCCTCTTTCTTCCTCCTTCCTCTGCCATCCCTTCCTCTTCTCTCTGTTTTCTTCCTCTCTGAAACACCAGTACTTACCAGTGTACCATGTGTTGGTACATCAGTGCAACTGGTACATACCATTTCGGGCCGATAGGGCAAACATTGCATTTTATAAGACAAGAACTGAATGTATCAAAATGAATTCCTACTATCAGAAAATAATAGTATGACTTTCTATAGTAGTGCAACTATCCTAAGACCATTTTCAACAATGTCTATACCTTGATTCCTTAAACAGATCAATTGAATAAGAAGTAACTAGAGAAATTATTTCACAACTAAACAAGAAGAGATAAACCAACAGACCAAGTTTCACAGATTACATTCATCTTCTTATATGATCTTTAGAAAATTCCTTATAATATTCCAAATCCAAAGTCCAGCTTGTAGAGAGAAAATAAAATTGAAAACAGTTGCACAAGGCTTCAGACACCTTTGCGAAACAACAAACAGAGGCAAATTCGCAGTCTTTGATATCCTGACTCAAATATGCAGTTATAAACTTCTTAAATCCTGACATACCTGTTGGTATCCCAAGTACCTTGGAGCCCCTACCAAATCCCTTAATAACAGGTCCTCCAATATACCATGGTTCAATTGGTAAAGTGCCTTCAATCCCTGCAATTTGTAGGCAGGAAATCTTCAGAAGCGAAGGAAAAACTTACACAAAGTGATAAATTTTTAAACAGAGCTTTAAGAGCATACAATCTTCAAAAGGAGGTAAGCCCCACTTTTCAGGATGCAGATCAAGCAAAGAATTGATTACCACATCCGCTGAACTGTAAAGACCAGCTTGTTTTGGAAGAGATGGCACTGCTACCACTGCCATTCCTGCTGCTTTGCCAGCAGCAACGCCAGGCCTGGCAAGTACGAGACATCCTTGAAAGCACAGCCATATACAGATGACATAGAGAAGGCTACATCTTCAAGACCAAGTTCTTGCAAGCAAACTATAAAAACAGAGTATAGAATAGAAATATATATAGTAAAATTGGAATGATGAGGATGTGCCATGTATCCATTTTCATATATCCTTAGCTATCCTGGTGGGACCAGGTCTCATCTAACATGCCAACAATCACCTACATGTCAAGCCCCTCATATTACTAAGCATTAATACCTATGTAATATTCTATATTTTACCTCTTTGGAACTTGATTATGCTTAATGTTCTATATAGCTTATCCTTATTATAACTTTGATTGTTCTTCTATACCATCTTATAATATCTTAACAATAAATTAAATAAATCATACCCTGGACATAGGATGGGCTGCATTATGGTGTAAAATAGAAAAAGGATCAACAATCAAATTTATCTTTTGACACTCGGAGCGTCGCCTTTGCAATTCTTAACATAACTATAGGACTTGGTACACAAAAGACTTCATTACCTTCACTAAGATAGTCTAGGACAAACAAACCAACTACTTTTCACTTTAAAATTTTTAAAGTATTTTTCTTCTGAAAATTCTATAATATTCTTGTTTATTAAATTAAATGTAAATCATCGACATGAGCAGCCCATTAGATATTCAATGGTCCTTGCATCACTGGACAAACAGCTGCCCTTTGAGTTTGTATGTTCCTATAAAATTCATTCACGTTCAGAACAATCATAACTCAGTGACCATTTTAACTATCTTTATTGGCACTGCATCCTCTTTTTATAATAAGAACCAAATCTTTGTATGGAAGATTCAACAAGAAAGCAGGATTGAATCTATCATGTAAATCATTAGGAAAATACAAAACCAAAGAAACTCACAATTAACAAATTGAATTATATTTAATTTTGTTTATTTGGTTTATTATGTCAGCATTGAAGGTCATACACGTCAAACAGAGGTAAATTCAACTTAAACAGTCAAAGATCAACCAACAAAATTTGCATTTATATCAGATATAGGCATAATTATAAATCTGCTCTATAATTCTTCCCATTATTGCAGAAGCAAAATAATCATAAAACAAAAGAACAATACAGTAAAAATACATAAGATATTCATTACTGTGTAAAATCAAAATTTGTTATTTCATTGTAATTTCAGTATTCAGAGAAGAAAGGACTAATACTAAAACTCATGAAGATATATGATGGTGGAAGGAAAGAAAATTGAGGAGAATTAAGATTTGAAAACTTACAATGAGTCCTCGATCACCAAGCAATTTGAAATATCAACATTCATTCTTTTGGCAGCTTCAAGGAATCTTGTCCACAAAAATTCAAAATTTCCAAAGTAAACATTAATATAATGAACAATGTGCCAAGCATAAAAAAATCAACAAATCATGCTACTCGTTTTAGTGTCTCACATTTCTGGGGATGGCTTTCCCGTAGTAACTTCATCACCACCAATGATAACAGAAAATGATTCTTTCCAGCCTAAGTATCAGAAATAACATTATGAGAACAAATAAGAGAAAGTGAGAAACAATAATCAAAATGCCAGCAGTAGGAGAAAACTTAAATAAATATATCAATATGTTAAAACCAAGGAATGTTGTATCACGTATTAGACCCATATCAGTCCCTGGCAAGACCAGTATGTAACGGTGTACTGACACATGGTACTGGTCAGTGTATCGATACACACCGATGTTTCGAAGATGAAAGAGAAGATGCATGCTCAGTGGAGGAAGAGAAGGAAGGAGGAGGAGGAAGACAAAGGAGGATGAAGGAAGAGAAAGGAAGAGGAGGAAGGAGTTAGAAGAAGGAAAAAGAAGAGCGATGGAGGAAAAGGAAGAAGAAGGAACAAGATGAAAGGGTGGTGGAGGAGGAAGGAAAAAGAGGAAGCGGTGGAGGAGGAGGAAGCATACAAGGCAGGTAAGTGATGATGAATGATAGTAGAGGCAATGTCGGCGACGAATGACAGGAGTGGCAGTGTTGGATGGCAAAAGCTCGAGAGCCATTCCATGCTCCTCGTGAGAAGAGTGCTAGCAAATGGGCTCGCATACGCGAGCCCTAATTGGAGATTTAAGTTTTTTTTATTTTTCTAATGGATTGGACCTGACCAACCAAAACGGGGCCAGCCCAAGTACCAGTCTACACTCGGACCAGTAAGTACTAACTGTTTTGTACCAGTCTGGGTGAAACAGAGAACCTTGGTTTTGAAAGATAATGCTTTTTAAGCTGGCATTATACCTTGGTGGAAAGAAATCTTTGTTTCTATGCAGGATTTTGAAGAGTTTGAAGCTAAGGCGGGGCCAGCCCAAGTACCAGTCTACACTCGGACCGGTAAGTACAAACTATTTTGTACCAGTCTGGGTGAAACAGAGAACCTTGGTTTTGAAACAATGCTTTTTAAGCTGCCATTATACCTTGGTGGAAAGAAATCTTTGCTTCTATGCAGGATTTTGAAGAGTTTGAAGCTAAAGCCATAGTCACCCCATTACTCCTCAGATGTTTAATCAACCGATTAGCACCTGGCAGAGCTTTGATATTGCACCACCTTCAGTTAAAAAATGCAGTAATTCAAGTCAAAGTTAAAAAAAGAACCTTCAACAAAATACTGTTCCTTAGTTAAAAAGAAGCATAACAAATATGGCCTGTCCATGCATGGGTCATGACCACGTGTGGCCAAGAACACTGGCTGTGACTGCTAGGAATTGGAATAAGTCCTCATAATCAACTCTATAATGTATTTTATTCTGGCATTGCTCTATATGTTTATGATTTTTATTACTAATAACTGATTGTTAAACTAAAATTCCAGCAACATATTGTTACTCTTCTTGCATCAAGTTATTGTTTATCTGTAATTCAAGCTCTAACTAACTGCCAGCATACTTTTGTGAATTTCTAAACCATGGTTCATAACAGCCCAAACAGCTTTCTTAAGCCTAATTATTTAACCTAAGAATCCAAGACATCTTAAACTTCCAGCAGGTCCTACATTATTCTAAATTAAGTATCAAGCTCAATTCATTTGGATATCATCCATGCATGTTCAGTATATCAAATTGGATTCAGCAGATGATTGCAATCCTGGTCTAAAATAGCTCTAGCTACCTACATTTGGATGTGGATTGAGATTTTGGCATGTTGACACGTAACTGGGTGGAGGAAGAAAATACAGGAAGGAAAAGAGAAGGGAGAAAACCAAATATCTCAAAATATCAGGAAACCTCTAAAGGTTCACCCCAAGGTCTCTTAGACAACCTAGATTCCAGTGGCAAACAATTTTTTCCCTTTCCTTCTTTGGCATCAATTGAACAGAAGAGAAATGAAAAAGGAAGATTATCTGCTTGAATTTCTCTTTTCTGAACATGACCAAGGTTTTCAGTTCAAACTGTTTGACATGCAAATACATATTAAATGTTGAAACTCAACATGATTTGCTTTCAAAAATAATCAAAATCAATAACCAATAGGCCTCAAGATACTTGCTACATTTGTGATAACTGTTGAATTCAAATTTTTGTATGCTGTAATTTTAGAAGAAATTTCCCTATAATTTCATCGAGAAGTCTTCAAACACCTGAGCTTGTGTGTCCTCCGGTTCAGAGAAAACTGGAAACTGACTACCCCGAAAGGAAAAATTTTATTCTCGTAGATATTTTCCTATTAATATTATAAAATAACCATGGGACCAGTAATTTTAGGCCACTTTTAGGGACCCAAAAGGGACATATCAAAAGCCTATCAAGTTCAAAATTAGTGCACAACTACAATAGTCACCAGGGGTTTGTCTTCAGCTCTCTTTGCTTAAAACTAAGAACAGGCAGTAATAATAGCAAAACCAACTTACAGAAAAAAAAGGCCAAGAACTGGCCCCTGGAAAAGTGATTTAGTTTTTCGGAAAAAAAAACCAGCAAAGATGGAACTGCAATGGTGTTGGATCCCTTTTAGTCCCTCCTTTCTAGTAGTTTCTTCTCTCACAATATTACTATCTCCTTTTATTCAATTTTCTTAATTTGTCAGCCACATACTGTCGTAGCTGCAGTTTCGGAAAGAACAGAGGAAAACATTATCTATAAAAGGTGTGGGTACATTCACTGTCATCAAGGCCCTTAAACAGTCCTTTCTCTACCTCAGACTGCACTGAGGAAAAATGTTAATATCATCGCTAAAGATAGGCGAAGACATAAAAAAGAAACATGAGCTTTAAGTGACACTACATTCCCTCTAATCATATATTGCAGCTGTGTTCAATAATGAATGATATAGATAGCACAAAGATGATAATCACAGGAAGAATGTCATGATGCTTACTGGTCAGAGAACATTGGAGAAATTGCAGACATGAGCTCCTCAGTTGTCAGAGAAAGTGAAAAATCTTTCACAACTGCAGTTGCAACTTCCAAAGGTGTCCTCCCTATTATTTTCTGAGATATTTTATTGTCCCATCTTTTGCCATATTTAACAAGGAATACTTTGAGAACTTCATTCATGACACCATCTGTCACCGGTTAAAGATTAGGAGATGAACTCTAAGCATGAAACTTAAAGAAGAAAGCTCGGTACATAGACATATTTGTAAATGTATCTCTATGTGTGTTGCAACAGCATATAAGTCAAAGGTCCATCTCACTATGTGTGTGATTTTACGACAGTAATGAAATTGGAAAAAATTGTGAAATATATATTGTACTTACCATGAAAAAAATGATCAAGAAAAATGTGGGTAAGTACACACCTGTATTTAAAAGTGTACCATCCAAATCAAGAATCACATGTGAGACCATCTGAGGAAAATGCTTGGTTGCGGCCATTTTCCAAACCTCAACAAAGCTATGAAGTTGGTTCTGAGAACCAATAGAAAGTCAGTACGAGTAACTGCACAAAGCTTCATGAAACAACAATAATTTCATTTTCATTTTAGCTCTATACACAGAAATTGCACTGTTCTGGTAACTATAAGCAATGGCAAATTTTTATACGTTCAAATTCCAGTAAGTAATATATAAAAAGTCTACTATATTCTTTCTAATTTCTAAAATGATGTTATAAAAACAAAGTATACTTGTTCTTCATTTAAAAGTTGCATACCATAAGACCTCCAAATTTTGTGAAGTGAAGAAATTGGTGAACTTTTTTTTTGGGGGGCAAATGATAAGTGGTGAAGGCAGAATTCAAACTTAGGACCTTGTGATAAACTGTTAAAGTCTTTACCAGCTAAGCTAGCTCACACCTTCATTGATTAACTTATTGGTTATGTATTCTATCACAATTAGAAGAGAATTCTTCTTCTAGTATGTAGTAACATTACGTTAATATTCAAATATTATATCAAGAGTTCAAGACAATATTATGTACAAAGAATGGCACTATTCATCGACACCAATGTTGTTGAAGGTGTTGGGCTATTGCGCTAAAAGATGCCAATGTTCTAAAATGCCGCAGGTACTAGGCACTCACCTATATAAAGATGATAAAAGAATAAAAAAAAGAAGAAATTCAATCATTAAAATAAAAAAAGACAAAATATAAGTTCCATATGATTTCAGATTCAAATTATCACCGCAAAATATCAAATTATATTCACTTAACCATCTACAAAACATTAAAGTACTAAATTCTCCAAATCTAATAACAAAATAACCCATGAAAAAGAATATTAACATCAAAATTAGCACGATTCAAAATAGCAAAAATTAACAATTCGAAATTCTAGTAGTCACAAATACAGTAATTGACACAAATCATAAACTCTTATTTACAATAATTAACTATTATAAACAAAAAATTAACATAATTTTGCAGGGGAGGAAGCGCTAGGGCTAACAGCGACAGGAGGCCGAGAGGAGGAGGGCGGACTCCTGGAAGAAAGAGAGAGAGGCGGACAGGGCCGTCGAAAGAAATGGAGAGGTAGAGAGTATGCCATGGAAAAGGAAGAGGGAGAGAGGGCTACCGCCTCCAGCGCGTGGGTACGAGCGAGGCCTACCCGACGCACTGGAGAGAGAGAGAGAGAGAGAGAGAGAGAGACCGAGTTCAGCAGGAGGGTGG